GTTAAATTTGATTATAACAATCATTATATTATTACATTATTTTTTACTAAATTTGAATATTGTGATATCAGCAAACCATCCAAATAAAGAAAATAAAAATTAAATAAAAACGAAAACATACCTTTTCTGGATCTACAATAATTGGAAAATATATATAAATAATAAGTACATTTTATCTTTTAACTTATTAAAGTCCATAAAATTGAAATGACATGTCAAACCACAAACGTCAAACTTTTAAAACAAACATATTTGTGTTGTGTTCCAAACAGAAAATGTAAAGCAATATGACAACATGTTGCCGAAACAATTATAAATCGAAAGATTGTTCCATTCATTGCTAAAAAAAAATCTCATGTAACACTACCTTAGCAGGTTTCTATAATAATAATAATAATATTTGACCGGATATCTTCCAACCAATTGAAAAAAAAAAGAAATTATGAACTTTGTGTGGATGTAATATAATACGATACGACATACAACCAAAACATAAATAATACCTCCAATACTTGTAACCTGTTCGTTTAATAGTCTAAGGTCTAATTGGGTTGGTTCCCTATTTAGGATGACCCAGTCTAGGTACAGGGTACAAGCTTAAATTTATTCTAGTCGTGTTTTTATAAAATACCTTACTACCGCATTTATAGAAAACCGGAAATCTATTGTAAGGAACTAATGACCACTGGACGTATGTATCATGTTTCAAAAATAATTTCAGAGTAGATGAATCACAATACTTATCTTACTACTATAAGAAATATATATCTTTTCATTTAAAATATTAACTATGATTCATTAATTTTACACAAAAGTTTATTAGGACTAGCACTCTGCAACTTTCATTTTAAAATTTCAATAAATATCTTGTTGAAGGACATTTTCCCTCAATATTGAAATTGACATAGTAATTTCCATACAAAAAATCGGGGGATATAAACACTTAGTGCAGAATTACAGACCCTTGTCGAATTTTTGTACCATTTCCAAACTACTTGAGTCAATTATCTGCGATTTTTTTTATAATCTATTGTAATAAACATACTCAGAAAACACTCTGACTTCGTTCTGAACACATTGCAGAAAATATTAACAATAGAACTTAAGTTATTTTCATTAACATAGTTTCACCAAGGTTTTCGATCATGGCATTTTGGTAATAAAGTTAGTTAAATTAGTATTAATGGCAAAACAATAAAATTGTTTCATTCTTACCTCTATCTAACCGCTCACAGGGTGTTACGATTGGGATTTTTACATCTGCAGTAAATATTCCATCTGGCGTACCTCAAGGTTCCCATTTGGTTCCATTATATTTAATATTGACATTAATGATATGTCTAGCTGTTTTGATTCTGGTAAATTTCTTATTCAATCAGATGATTTTAAAATATACGGCTCTTTAAAGAATATTGCACGTTGTCAAAGAATACCAGATAATCACAACAAACTACAAATATGCTGTCAATTAAGCCTGTTTTTAAATTAAAAAAGTGTCTTCAAATCCCTTTTTCTAGAAACAACACCAAAACGACTTTATATCAATATTTTTAAGAAAGCAGAGCATTACCTTAATGTTAATAGGATTAAAAATTTAGGCATAATTTTTATCAGTAACAAATAGAACTAAGAAAATGTTAGTGTTTATCTTACGCTCATCCTACGATTACTACCCTGAAAAGATAGATAATTCCGAAAATATGCAAATTTTTAAAATTATTTTAGGTTACTAAGTTAAAATAACTAATTTAAAAATAAAATAAATTTAAAAAATATTTAATTTAAGGCAATATACATGTTTCCAAGTGGAAGGATAAACGCGAAATTCTTGCAATAACTACTAGACACCAGCTGAAACTAATGAAAGTAGAAAAAAGGTTTGGACAACAAAAAAAAAACCTATGGAAATAGCGGCCTACAATGATAACATGTCTGGTATTGATCGGGCTAATCAAATGATCAGCTACTATTCCTGTCCAATAAAAACAGTGAGGTGGCACTAAAAAGTGGTTTTCCACATGTTGAATACCTCCAATTGGAATGCCTTTTACCTTCATAAAATCAATCACAAAGGAATAGATTTACTGACTTTTATTCATTTTATATTATGCTGTCTTTTAGGAATCTTGGCCTTTAAACTTTTAAGCAAAAGGAAAAGAACTTCTTTAACAACAAATGAAGTTCATTTTATGAAAGAAATACCGATTCCAGAAACCCATGAGAAAAAAAATGAAAATACTACTTACGCAGGAATTGTACGAAGGAAAATAACAGAAAAGAGACCTGCTGACGGTGCAAGACATGTGTGGATGTCCAGGAAGTTTGTGTGTATGTATGGAAGAAAACTAAAAATTACATCCCAAATTTGAAACCGAAATTTTCTATTCTAACTACATTTATAATATCATTTATGACATGTAAGTATAAGAAGAAACAACAAGTAACTCTTTCGAAATTGCATGAAACTTTAACTCAAAGATAAATTTTTACAGAATGCAAAACATCATTGTATACAGTGTTAACCAATATAGGATTTAAATAGAAGAAAGATGATCCCCGGCAGGGTCTTATAGAACTTCCTCATGTTGTCAGTAAAAGTATTTATTAGTTTTTTAAAGTTATGTCTCTACATAAATTTGTTTATCTGGATGAAACATGGATTTTTCAAAATGGTACAGTAAACAGTTCTTGGCAAAATAAAGATAAAGAAGAGTTGAAGAAAAAATATTCATTGTTCTTCATGCTGGCAACGAAAATGGTTTTATTGATAGGGCAGAACTGGTGTTTTCATCAAATAGTAATAATAAAATGTGTGAGAATCAATTATGAATTTGACTGAGCTTTTAACGATTGTTATACGTAACTTTTTAAAATACCCAATAATTCCTGGATTGGCTGACGACACACAACAAACAAGATTTGTGAAACAGTTTTTAGAAAAAACACCAAAAATATAGAAAGTAGATCAGCTTGTAGAACAATATGGTCACTCAGTTATTCGGTAAGGTACCTCCTTATCATTGTACATTTAACCTAATTGAAATGATATGGGGTATTGTTAAGAATTATTATAACCAGCATATTATAACAATAATAATAATTTTCCTAATTCACCCCCTCACGAGTTAATTTTAACCCCAAAAGCTGAGCGAGGAAAGGGACGTCTATTATTATTATTATTTGCCGTGGCGCTCCGGGGCGACTTAAAGATGATTGAAGGTGCCATTTGACTTACAGGTGAGGAAAACCCGGAAAACCTCACCCACCATCAACGAGAAGGTAATACATGGCGGTTTTATAATATGCATGTCATATCAACAGAAATTGAATTTCTATTAATACGGCACACATCAAATCCTATACCTAACTATGCAATTTAATTAAAAATCCACATGGTCTGCTGTGGGATTCGAAGCCCGTCTGTCTCTGATCATAAACTTGCCTATAAATGAATATAAGCGCGTGAGACTGTTACACCACCGACCCGACCCTATTGGGTAGGAATGACAACTCAATTCAAAATCGTTTAAGCATGTGTAGGGAAACACTACAGACTGTAACCCCCCAAATCTAATCGTATTAGTCATAGTCAAAAAAATTATTCAGAAAAGATGGGACTCTGAAGTTATATTGAACTGGATGATATTTTACTTGTAATTATTGATTTTAATGACGATAGCGATAGTTATTCTTATTTTGAGAAAAGCTTGTTGTTTATTTTTATTCTACTTTTTTATATTGCAAGAACTACTTCCGAAAGCTTCTTAAATTGTATATATTGAATTACTTAAAGTGTTCAAATTATACATTAGTTTTTTATAAAATGTTTCTTAAGATCGTAGAATTTTGTAGCAACCTGGCAACGTCTATTCTTATGAGTTTATGACAAGAATTGGAGATTTCATTGCATTTACATTTGTAAATATAGACGAAATAAAAATAGAAATGCTATTATTTATCGATTTATCACAAGAATAACTCATTTAAATGTATATTTTAACTAATACGAAATTAAAAAATATTTCCTTTCAAATATTTTCATTAAGATTGTTTACGTATTATATCATGTAGGTATTTTTTGTATTTTAAATTCCTTCTAAGACATTACTTAAACTATAGTATTTCGTTAACTCACTGTTTTATTTGTTTTCTTTTTTTGTAATTTAGTTATCACTGTTTTTTTTTAGGTTAGTTTGTCAGTGTTTTTTTTTTGCTGTAAATAAAAATAAATAAATTCTAAAAGTCAAAATTATATATCTAAGAAATATATATAAAATAATTAATGTTTCCAGTATTCTTAGAACTGGCACACTTAAGTGAGGAGGGTTTAAAATTTAATGTTAATGTATTCTAAATTTTTTCTTTTTCATTTTACCTTACACAAAATGCCATACTTAAAATCCTAACACCTCCCAAATAAAATACCTGAGTACGCCCTTGATTCTTAGACTCGTACATATTGAACATATTATTTAAAAAAAAAACTAATATTTGCAAAAATTAATTAAATTTTATTGTCGTACAATTAGAAAAAAAATTGATACAATGTTGTCATGGATACTTAACCCGTAAATCTTCCTGCAAATAATATTAATCCCGAATTTCTCATCTTGATGTACCAGAAGAATGGATGATCGGCTTTGAAGAATATTTTTGCTGGAGCAGGAAGTGATGTTTTCGTGACACCAACTTAAAAAAAGTAAAAAATATGTAAACATTACTATTTTTATAGTTAACAATAATTTTTAGGAAAAATAGAATCAAACTTTATTAAAATATAAAGACTGGTAGGTTGTCAACTAGAAAGACTACAATATTGATAAAATGACATTAAATGAAAGAAAATAAAAGATTATCCAAGAAGACTTAAGAAGAATAAAGGAACATAAGAATTTTAAAATTAACTATCAACAAAACAAAATAAGAAGAAGAATATCACTTCAGATCAGGATGTATAAAAGGATGGAAGGGAAAAATAAAGTACACAAGTAATAATATGTATTCCTTGTAATATTCTCACTAAATATATGAAAAATTATGTGATACATTTCACATTAAACTATATACATAACAAATAGATATTATTATCCTTTAAATCGTCCTGCGAATAATATTAATCTGGAACTTTTGACTTGGATGTAGAAAAAGAATGGATGATCAGCTTTGAATTGTATACTAGGTGGTTCCCTCACGGAGGTGAGTTGTACTCCAACTAAAATAACAAATATATTATGAAGAAAACACAATATGAACCTCTTTTCTCAGAAATTTAGATCCAGTAATAACAGAAAACTCTTTTGAAATTCTGCAAAATTATGCCAAACGATTCCGCATAGAATTATTCTCAATCTTTGTTTCTGTGCAAAAAAAAAAACTTCCTGGATTTATTATTGGACACTTCAGAGGTTATGTAAAAATGATATACCATTAATTACTAACCTCAAATTAAAATGCATTTATTTAACTTATACATATAAAAAATTTAAAATATCATCTACGAAAAGTTTCTTCCTAACCTTTCTATCATTTCAAAAATATCTACGACCTTCGGCTCTAAGATAGATGGCAGCTTATTAGCATATAGTGACCACAATTTTCACGAAAATGTAATCACGACACCCGAGTTCAAAATTGTCAAGATAAAATAAAATATATTTCGAAAATATGGAGAATTATTCATTTTATTTATAAAAACTATATTGTGTTGTTTTTCGTTTGGTTCCAATCTTTGAATAATTATATATGTTTACAGACATGAATACATTATTTTTTATAATAAATTTGAAATTTTAAAAGGTACTATAATTGATTTAAACACAATATAATTCTTATTTTGTTTATTAAATAAAAAACAACAAACATATCCAATAAAAATTTAAGGTTAGGTTTGAAAGTTCCCTATGAATAAAATAATTCCACTGGTTCTGTCTTTGATGTAAAACAAAAATGGATGATTGGCGTTAAAAACCTCATCGGGTGGAGGGGGAATGTATAATCTCGAAACTCCCACTAAAAGACAAAAAAATATCAACAAAAAAAACATATTCTGAATATAAATTTTTTACATTGTTTTGCAGATAAAAAAAATTGATTACAGAAAGAGTATTTTGGAAAAACCTTTATTACGTGATAAAAAAGGTACTTCCCCTTTGTAAAATGACTCCTTAAAAATATTTTATATTGTTTTGAATATTATAGTGATTATTCCATTTAAAAACTGATTTGTTTACCTTCCAAATAATTTTGTTTTTTTATAAGAAATATGTTGGAAATCCGCAGTCCAAAGTTGATTAAAATGGTACCCAAAGAAATGTTTAATGAGAGAAAGTACAATATCTACCCAAACATAAAATCTAGCTTATAAATTCCTACCACTTTACATCAAACTATTGATAAGACTATAATGTATCAAATTATTTTTTGGACGAACAAAATTATACATTTTGCGTAACGCTTACCTGCAGTTGCAGCTGCTGCTTCAACTCCATTTTCATTGACGTCAATGAAGGCTTCCTGAACAACGAAACTGACCTTAAGACCGCCTCCATCAGATATTCCCGACAAATCAGCTTGATTCGTAAACATGGTAGTGGCACCCAACTAAAAAAAAAAAATGCTTAAGAACTACAACCTTCTTAAGAATCCCTTTTTAAATCTTCATTTTAAACTCTATTTTAATCATTTTTAATCCCCCTTCAATTTAGCAAATTTGGATTATTTTTTATCCCCTTTTAAACTCCCTTTATTCCCCTTTTAAACAATTTTGTATAAAAACTACTACTACTTAATCCTCTTTAAAAGCAAATTTTTAAACCTCATATCACTAAGGCCAATAAACGAAAAATTTTAAATTTCTTCATAATATACTTTTGCAATAACTAGTGACTAACATCTAAAATTTCATCAATTTGTTTAACTATAAATGGAATTAAACAAGTTTGAATTTTTGAAGTAAGGGTAAAAAGTATAAAATTTTGTAAAATATGTCACACATGTGCAACTAGCAGTCAATTGAACAAGAAATACAACAAACATTTATTATCACTAAGCTATTTTATATTCATTGTTCTTACACTTATCGTTTGATTAACTACTATTGTCTGCAGCAGTTTTCGTTAAAGTTTTTAGATGTGAAATGTTTTAAAAATTTATATATTTTTCCCTGCTTTTCAATATTTAAAAAGTAATACTAAAGTTGCATATTATGGCATTTGAGTTCCAACTTTTCAATGATTTTTGCCAGTAATCTGAGTAAACCATTTAATAATTAATATGTTACCAATATTTTTCATGCATTCCTAAATTAAAATAAACAATTTTTTAAGTTCCTATTTTGTGTTTTTTTTTACCTTTTTTTATTACCTAAACAATATATTTAGGGCTTGAAGTAATAGGCTATTATGTCCTTAGAGTTCAATATCTCAGCTAGTCCATTTTTATCCAAAAAACCTTTGTAACCCAAGATTTTAAAGGAAATTTAATATACTTTTTATTGTATGAAGCAATGCCTGCACATACCTCTATTCAGAAAGCAATTATAAGCAAGAATTTTTTGCATTTTAAATTCTTTTTTTATTAATTTAACATAAAAAAATTTAAATAAACAATTTGATGTGAAATAATCGTATTATTATAATTATATTAACTGCTTCAATTTTGCCTACGCAAAAAATGGATCTTCTACTATTTAATTATTTTTTCTTATAATTGCATTTATAAAAAAAATTCGTATTAACTATACCTGCATTTTGCTTCGTTTCTGAGATATAAAAAAACTCTAATGGTTGAATTTTCACCCCTATCTTCAATTTCCACCCGCTAATTCAATAGCATATTTATGGACCATTTGAATGATTTTTGTCATAAAAACCCATAAAAGTGATCATTCCTGTCTATATTACATATTCAATAGAATCTATAAGGGATTTGCAGTTTGCATTTTTTTTATTTCAAGATTTCTTGCATTAAAACTGGTGAAAATGACAACACCATTTTCATATTTATATTTATTTAAGAATTAAATTTGAAATGGTTACGCTACTGATTTAAAGTCAAACATCAAATTTATAATATGTCGCTGGTTATTACCTCCGAGCAATTACTACTAGGGAGTCTTCCCCCCTTCCCCGCGCTAAATTTTGTTAGCAACATCTACTCCCCCCGAGGGGGAAAATACCTCATCTGTAATTGGCTTATTTAATCAGCGTTGCCAAGTTTGACGGCGCCAGTTCTGACACTTTCTGACACATGTCAATTTCTAATTTGTATTTTATGGAAAATATTATTATTTATAACGTTGTAAGGGTTGTAAATGTATATTTAAGATTTATTATCTCTAATTATATGGTGAAAACATGCTTTATGTGTAAAAGGCCTGTTGAAAATGCTTCTTTAAGATAATATCATAAGTAAGTACAGACACAACCTAATTATCAGAGGCGGTGCATTAGGCAATCACCTTTCTTATTTTATTATCGAAAAATTAAAATTAAGAGCAAGTAAACTCCAGCTAAGTTCGTCTTCATCCGTTTCATAATGATTATAGTAAAGGTTAATTACTTATTATTATTTTAATATCACATCTTTATAAAGTTTATTGTTATTTTTTTAGGTTTCCTTCTCTTGATATGAGAAAGAATTACATAGTTCCAAAATATAGGAATTCAACAAGTGACCACCTGAATAACTTTTTATGCTAATGAACATTTTTATTACAGACCTCAGGGGAGGAAAATATTAAAGAAAAATGCAATTTCGATGAAAGAAGTATAATAATCAATCCTGTCACTACTTCTACACTATATTCATCTGCTACTAAAATACTAAAACAGCAAGTAAGTAGAGAAACTTAAGTTTTTTTCAAAAAGAATGATTTTAAGGAAAAAGGCATAGCCATTTTTTTGTTGACACTTTTTTTAACTAATCTAAAAGACTAATTTTGTGTATTGTTTAAATTTTAATTTTTTGTACTTAATTTGTTTTAGGTTTAAGCAAAATGAACTTCTAAGATATACAGGGAATATCCCAAAAGAGCTAAGGAAGGTTTTAAAATTCTTAAGAAAACTATTCATAGCTAAAAACATAAAATAGTCTTCCTGTCCAAAATATAAATAGGTATAAATATTTAGATATTATGAGTGATTTTTTATTCTATAAATAGAACATAATTAGCTTCTAAATCACTACCTTATGAACGATATTATATAATACAAAACTAAACAAGAATATCACATTATTCATGTTTTTTTTTAATTTCCTTAAAAAACGTCCCAAAAAATGTGAATATTTATTATTGGAGTTTAGATTGTATGCTAAAACAATACTAGAACAACTTAAATAATGTGGATTTTGACTATTTTGAGTTATGCAGATCATTATGATCTAAAAAAATGTTTGTCTGGTGCTATAGTCAGGTATAAAAACATTCATTTATTTAAACACAGTTGCAATATACATTTTATTTAGTTTTTAAGTTAAAACCTATTAGGACATCCTAAAATGACTTTTTTCGTTTGATTTGAGATTAATTATTCTACATTTTTGTTGGTGGATATATTAAGATGTTTTACTGTTTTCTCTGATTATCTAAAAAGTTAGAACAATATACAAAGACTGTTATAACAAAAAAGAGATACCTTTACTTAAACGCACAATTAGTCAGTTCAATTGTACGATAATTTAAAGCAGAAATCCAGAAAACTTTAAAAATGTGTTTAAATGTGTTTTTACTATAACAAGGACATAATTATTAAAAAAACTTGGCACATTAACATTGACGATAGGTTTTTGTAATATATATTATACAAATTACAACAAACTACACAAACTGACATTTTAATAATTTTGCAATAAAAAAGTTAAGTACAATGATGACATTAAAAGTTGAGTTTCTCGAAATACTTTTTTTAAATTGTCTCAGTACCTACCCAGTATTTTTCTATTTTTATATGAATGTGCATTGTGTGTGCAAATCTTATATTTTAGGAATAAAATGATATATTTTTTTGCAGGTTTCTGTTAACAACGATTCCAAGAACTTTTAAAAATATTATTAAAACGGTCTTTGCAAATATAATTCTCAATTAAGAGCTTTTGATCTAACATTAAATTTTTATTCTCCATAAGGTTACAGCTTCCTAAGAAGAAAGTTTAACAAGACTTACCAGACCCAAAATATCAAAATTTTACCAACCAATTGATGGTTCTACTGGTTTCTACGCCACTGAACAAGAAGGATGTTTACCTTCCCCCTTGTGCCCGCTTCCTCACTTCCTCTACAGATGTTGCTAACACAACAATCCCTACAAACTCGTTTTCACGCTCCCTCTATTAGTAATTGCTCGGAGGTTATGACGACACGTTCGCCCATACGACTGCAACTTCAGGTGTGTTCTTCTCTCGTGAAACGGATTCTAATACTTGGCATTTTATATTTTACTCTTTAGAGTTTAACAGACCTCCCCTTATCCATCATTTTGAATCAGATCTAGATGAATATTTTTTATATTTACAAAAAATAACACATTGTTTGACAAACTTTATAATACCTATTTAATGGCAAACAATAAAAAACAAAAATGATCTAAAATATAACAAACTACTTATTGATATTTATTATTCGCGAATTTAATATCCGGCTTTATCTGACATTTATTTATATTGGTGACAGTTGTTTACCCCGTAATCACAGTAACAATATATTTACCTACTTGATTATTCTGAGAAAACCGCGCGCTTGGTAATTTGTCGTTAAATGTAATATTTTAGGTATGTTCAGAACAAAACAGAGATTTATTAACTTTGATCGAAATATGATGGTTGTAAATAAAATAGTATACAAACCTCGGTAGGAAGTTTCATTCCTGTCTCGAGATCATAGCTAACCTCGACGCTTCGCGTCTCGGTGATCTAACTAATCTCACGACAGGAATGAAACTCTTCCCACCTCTGTGTGTAATATACTATTACCAGCTTTTAATAATGTCTAATTTCGTTTTATTTCTCTTTTTTAATCCCCTTTTTATGCCCAAGATAATTGTGTTTTTAAAGGAAAAAACAATTATCAATTTGAACCTTGTCAAATCTTAGATTATTGAGATATAATCAACATTTAAAAAATTCAGTCCCTTTTTTGATAATTATTAATTAATTTCCAAAAATCATTAGTTAAGTCATTATAAAATAATGTAACTTCTAATTTTGGCGTTCCAAAGTTATTCAGTAAGAATATTTTAGACGTTGTTGTTTCCAAATTCATTTTATTTTGGACCTTATTTACAGATATACAGCACAACTACTAAGAATTTTTAGAAATTTTACACATTTTGTTTGGTTACAGATTTGTTACAAAAAAAAACTAATATTTTTGATTTCTTACCTGTTGTAAAATAGAAGTAAAATCAGTCTTGGAGTTAGTCTTAAATTTAGGTAAAGTTATCGCAACGTAAGCATTTTGGTACTTCATAGGCACCATATATTTGTCCACATTCCTTTCAACGGCACTCAATCCGTTCTTCTTATCTGGCAGTACGAATACCATGCTGAAATCGCCCCCTTTGAAATCTAACTCCAAAAATTTGGCTTTCAACTTGGTACAATGTGTGTATTTAGCAAAGGTTTCGGTATACATGGTGTCAATAGATATTGAAGCGGTTTCCGATGTATAAAACAACCTTGGCATAGAGTTGTGTTTTTCGAAAGGATGTTTCCATTGTGCTAACAGGTACAAAGCGTTAACCAAAACCAGTACAGTTGCGGAATTTAGCTGACTTGGATCTACTAAGTTTTTGATTTTGTTGTTGGTTTGTTGTTCTACCCAACTGTTGATGGTATCGGCCGCTTGCTGAGCGTTATTGTAGTTCAACCTTTGGACATCAGATTTATAAACATTGACAGCTAAGTCTTCAAAAGATTGTGATATGGTGAATTTTTTGGCTGGATATATTTTGTTAGCTGATAAACATTTTAGCTCGTCCGTATTAATATTAAGGGTTGTAGTGATTTGATTGAAAGCCTCGTCTCTTGCTTGTTGACTACTTGGTAAATTTAGAACAGTTAGCAGTTGCTTTTGGGTGTCTCCTTTTGCACCATTGGCTAAGAGGGATAGTATTATTTCTGCTGAAAGTCCGCTGAGGACTACATTACGACTTTCGGTCTGGATAACTTTCTGAAACAATGTTACTAATTAGACATATGTGTAGAGGAAAAGAGAAGTCGGGAAATTTCTGACATATACAGTGTGTCTACGTAAGTTGGCTACATATGCAAAACTTTTTTATTATTAGTATAGGAGGCTTGTACTTTATTCTTGATCAAGAACCATTTTTTTTTTTGACATAAAATTTGATATCTGATTGTTGTATTTTAGGATTTAGACTGTGTACATTTTTTTGTAACTAATAATAAAAAAGTTTTCTATATGTAGAAACTTACATAGGTAGACACACTTTATACTGATCAAAATTGACGAAATTAGATCCAGACTATCCTTTCGTTTTGTTTCCATATAGATGGAGTTGAAGAAGATACATTGAGATGCCAATATAATCTCCAGATCTAAATAACAGTAAACTGTATATCCCTCCAGGTAAGGATGTTTTTGTTTGTTAGAGTATAATGGAATTTAAAACAAAGCGGTTCATATATTAATACATTAATTTATTAATATTGTTACGCAGCACCCTGCAGTAGCCTGCGGCTATTATACAAAACGTACGAATACAAAAAGAAGTGCAATATTACTCATCAGTAGATGAGATTAGCCAGTTCTGGACGGGAGGTATAAGAGGTAATTAGTAATTATCCTAAGTACCCACCCCCACCCTTCTCGCAATTAGCAAGTACCTCCCAATTACTCTGTACATCATGTAATGAGTGTAATTGCATGGTGTAATGAATGTAATTGTATAGTGTAATGAGTGTAATTACTTCATACACATGTGTTATGTGTGTGTGTTGTGTGTTGTGTGTTGTGTGTTGTGTGTGTGTGTTGTGTGTGTGTGTGTTGTGTGTGTGTTTTGTGTGTGTGTGTGTGTGTGTGTGTGTGTGTGTGTGTGTGTGTGTGTGTGTGTGTGTGTGTGTGTGTGTGTGTGTGTGTGTGTGTGTGTCTGTGTGTCACATAACTCATGAACCGATACACAGAAAAACACCAAATTTTAAACTTAAGCTTTATTCCAGCGTCCAATGAACTGATTAGATTTTGTGCAGAGTCGGAACATCTGGGGGGTACTTTAGAGGTGGTCATTTTTATATTTTATGAAATATATCTGTTATTTACGTTTGGGAAAGAAAATTCTTCAAATAAAAGTTACTTCTTATATTATTATCTATAATTTTTGTTCCATACAAAATTTTCCTAAAATGGTCCGTATTCGAGAAATTTGACAAAATATAAAAAAATATTTTTTTATAAAAATTGTTCAAATAAAAGTTGTTTGTAATATAATTTTTATCCTAGACATAATTTCTCTAAAATGGACCGTATTCGAGAAATTTGAGAAAATTGTAAATTTTGAAATTTGAAGAAAACTCAAAAACGGATAAAAAAACAAAATTTTAATCTTAAGTTTTATTTCGGCCTGACGTGAAATGATTAGATTTTGGACAAAGTCGGAACATCTGGAGGGGTACTTTATGGGAGGCCGTTTTTATATTTTATGGAATATATCTGTTTATTTATGTTTGGAGAAAAAAATTATTCAAATAAAAGTTACTTCTAATATTATTATCTATAATTTTTGTTCTATGTCAAAATTTCCTGAAATGGTCCATATTCGAGAAATTTGAAAAAATGTGTAAAATTCTGATTTTTATGAAAATTGTTGAACTAAAAGTTGTTTGCGATATCGAATTCTATAATTTTTGTTAATACATGATTTTTCTAAAATGGACCGTAATGGAAAAATTGGAGGAAAAGTGCTAAATTTAAATTTTTCATTATTTTCGTTTTCAATGAATATCTATAGAAAAATGTTTCGAGGTAGATGTATGTGGAAAATGTATATATTTAGTTTATCCTCTAAACATTTATAGAGGTGCTGCAATAGGTTGTACAAAATAACCGGAAAAAGCCTGTAATAACTAGATAGGAAAGTCATGTGTTGTACACATCAGATTTTTTTTAAGAACTGTTAGGTTATAAAAGATATAAATTGTAAAATTGTAAAAAGTGATAATTAATGTGTACAAGATACCTAGAGGTACTCAACATAACAAACCGTAATCAAAGAAGGTATGGACCGAAGAATATGAAGAAGAATTACTTCTCAATCCATCTAAGACATCTAGAGCAATATATAATATTAAATAAAGCATATGTTAAAAACTTATTTAATTTAAAACAATACAAACTTACTTTGTAAACATTTGCTGTGAATTCTGCGTTACCTTTGGCAACATCTTGCAAAAAATCTGCGTTACATCCATAAACAAAAATACCCAAAATCAAAACGACCCAATTCATTTTTTTTAACTAACCGATTACAACTACAAGAGGATTTTAAGTATATAAACCAAAATATATAACAACGAGTAATATTTAAATATTTGTGATTATGTTGTAAAGTACCTGGGCGATACTTATATTTAAATTACCACAAAAGTTATTTATGTATGTTGTTTATGTGTATACGTATTGAATAATTAAGGTAATTATACCTGACGAAGGTTTGTTAAATATTTTAAAATAAGATAGTTTTACTCGTTTTGTTTCACGGTTGGCAAGTTAAAAATATTCCAAGAATTTAAAGCATTGTACAGTGTTTGATAAAAGGTGTGAATAATAGTAATTTACATTAGCAGATGCGGAGTTTTGTGTATCCCCAGCTATGCTACGCCTCAGACAATCAAAAACACCTTAAACGTAAAAGGGCTTTTGCATCGTAGATTGTATTAAAATATTCATTCTCTCCCGACATTTAACCCTATTCAGCAATATTAATAAACCAAAATAAAATCTATTTTAATATAAGCAGCTTTCCTGAATTCCATATAAACTTATTTTAATTTCTTTTCTCTTCACAAATGGTGACATAACAATTTTTCGTTATCAGTTACAAAATGTTTAGCTTTATGTAACTAGTTACAAAAAATAGATCATTTTAATACTTGCTGCGATTAAAAAAATCTTAATTTACTCAAATTCATTGCAAATTTGCGACCGTATTAGACATACAAAACAACTACAAGCAGGTCTAATCCTAGCTCTACAGAAATACATTTGAATATACAATGTAGCAAATCAAAGTGTACACTTGCCAAAAAACTTGATATTAGGCATTCCAAACAAAATGATTGCCCGTAGATAGTGACAGGCACATGATAGGTTATAATAGGGCAACACTGTTTTTAAAAATAAACATAAGCTTATGCTTTGATGTAAAACTGTAGGCAATTATTTTTTTGTAACATTCAAAGGCTAGAAATTGGTTTTAAAGTACATTTTTGCTAAATCGATTCAAATTAATGAATATTTGTCAGGCAATATGGCCGCTTGCAATCTGCCCGCTTTGAGCAATCTATATAACTGAATATGTGTTGTATCAGTCATCTCTAAAATATGCCTAATTGCCAGGATAAGGTTGGTAGTTACCTTACATTGACAGTTAACCTATGATGAATGAATAAAACGTTAAATGGTTGCTCCTGGAATTTTATTTATCAATCTACTAACAATCACATGCTTTAATTTTCTTTTACTATACGGAAAATGGTCGCACTGCGCATCTTTCTGAGTGCCTTTTAAAAGGAGATATTAAACTCCGCCATTTTGATCCCTTATTACGTGTTGCCTACATCTTGGCGCAATATTTTTAATAGGTGCGTTTTAATCATCCGCTTCTGCTTCGGAGTTTTCGGTTTTCTTGTTTTAATCTGACAGGTTTAAACGACTAAACCCACAATAGGGCTCGGCGATTTTGATTCCTATGCCACAGTTTATAGCTAAAGAATCAGATCTCTCACTCTGCGTCGGCGCTTTTGATCTCAATGTTCCAGTTTATACACTGCGCAACTAGGATAATACAATATATGACAACCGCCTATAATAAAACAGCAGTCTTCTGCGTATCCTGAATTTGTATTCCTGGAGTGAATGTTATTTTGGAACTTTCAACTGGTCCGAGTGAGCTAACTGATTCTTTAGCAATAAACTGTGACCACTGATCTGTTACAGATCAGTGACTGTGGACATTGACAGTTTACCTATGATGGATGAATAAAACGTTAAATGATTGCTCCTGTATTTATTAATAGTTATCTACTAACAATACAATATGTACAACATGTAAATATTTATTTAAATAAGTGATATAAACCTTTACATTAATTTAACACAATAGCTAAACAAAAGACAAACATTTGATAACTTATAAATATATTTTCGAAGTAATTTATTAACCTCCGAACCTTCCCAAGAACAATTTAACTTTGGTGGATTTGTCCTCGATGTAAAATATGAAGGGGCGGTCAGCATTAAAAACACGTTTTTCTTCTAGAACTTGAGATCCTGTAACAACTAAAAAAAATATATATATATTTTACTATAGAAAATAAAATCTTTATTAAAATTCCAATATATTTTTGGATGGAGAAATTTAATGAACTCTTAGAAGGCTATGTGTGAAACATAGATACTCCCCAACTTGATTTGATGGATTTATAAAATAATGATAGAACGAATAGTCCAATTGAATCGGTGAATTCGAAAACCGTAAATGTCCAAAATCAGCCTTCCAAGAAAAACAATAAAAACCTTTTAACGAGTCACGAATATGAACGGTTTTTCGCCTAATTTCACGAATGTAATCAGCTGTACTACGTTAACGGATAGGTATCTAGTACGGTTTTTAAGCTTAATCGATGAAGAGACAAATTTTAAACAAAATGGCTATCTTACTTTAAAATGTCAAATGAGATGGCACACTTCTTATGAGTTTTCGGGGACCGGTCGATTTTTTTTAAATTTTAATATGTTATAGTACTTGCAAAAATAAGCATTTTTCATCATTGCGCCAAATCTCTAAGTGTACAGGGTGTCCCAGAAAAACGCACCGAAAGTTCGTACGCGAGGCGTTAAAAGTATCCAGTAATCGTCGTCCTGAAAGAATGTTGCTGTGATTTTTTCTTTTAATTTGACCAACGAACAATGAATGTGATATGATTACATGTCTGTGCAATACAGGGTGTTTTAATTTACATGTCCCTTTCGAAATCGTAGTAAAACAAAAACAGATTTAGGTATGCCGGCCCTTGTTTCGGCATTATATAGCGAATTAGAAAGTGAAAATGTTTTTTTTTAACTTTCTCGAGGCCAATTTATGCTTTTGAATTTATCTGAAAACTCTGCTTGTTATAAGTTACAATAAAAAACAATGAATATGCAAGGAAATAGAAGTATTAAATACTTTGGAATAAATTAACCTAGGTATAAATGGCCAAATACCACATTAATTTTTGTTAATTTACTTGATGTAGCCAACATTCAGAATTAAAAAGCACAAAATCGTAAAAAAACAATTATTTATTAAATGGAAGAAACAAGAACTGATTTATTATCTTACTTTGTGAGTTAATTAGCGTAGTAACATTTTTTGTCAAGGGGTAAAACTATTATTGGGTAGTGACAACTCTCTTGGAATACTAATCTCTATTAGCGGCGTCTTGGATACATCTAAGTAAGACGTTTGTTGGGTACTTGACGTCGTTTTCGTGTCGAGCATAGCCTAGATACCACACTACGCTGGAAATATGTGCGCACATACGCAGTGTTCTAGCCCCAACTTTACAAGTACAATATGTTCCTTGTATTGGGTCGTCCCCATCACGCACAGGAGGCAGCAAGTATGAAATAAAAAGAAAATGCTTTGTGACTTGAGTAAATCGGGAGAATAGCTTTGCTCTAATGAGCCCAGGCTCAAATTCCTGAACTTGAAACAGAAATTCGTTATTGGCTTCCCTTTCAATTGTATCCTGGATGTAAGCTGGAGACAGCTTTACCTGATATGTTCCAAATGTTTTTGTTCTAAGATATTCTAACGTTAGAATAGGGAACTGGATATCATTTTCATTTATATCAACCCATGCACCTCCACCACGCCTAAGTTGCAGATTTTCCAGTAGAATCCTATCATGGAGGGGATTATTAGGATTTTGGAATAGCTCTAGCATTCGCTGTGCCAGCTCGTCACTCTCATCCTGCATATGAATTGGTTCTCGGTATGCGTTAATAAGAGCGCAACCAATCTTTAAATATTCTGATAACTTGTAACAATTTTGCATAGGTATCGCATCTCGAAAGAACTTGTACAATGATTTTAAATGCCCATTCCTCGATTCTACAATCCAGCGCGTTTTGGTAATCTTACGAGCATAGTTCGCTTCCTCGGTGGTAAACTGTTGACGATTTCTTGGCAAAAACGGTGGTATTTCACAATTCAGGTTTAGTGTTTTAAGAAATTCTACAACATCTCTATATCCCCTATCAACGACAAATATATCTCCGTCCTGTATCCATTGTCTTATGTTTTGAATATCCTCTTCCATTTCTTTTCTCAATATTGCTGCATCATTGTTCCTGCTGTCGGAAAAGTAAGGACCGTGAACATCGACTATAAATCCATCAGGAGCTACTATTAGTCCGGCTTTAAATAATGTATACCGCTTATGGGATGAAAAGGATTGTCTTTGAGTTCTAAAATTACAACTTTTTGGGGCTTTCAAGTAAGTACAATCCGGAAAGAGAATGGCTTGGGGATTTTGGGGCTATGGATTGTACAATATATTTGAAAAGCTTGTAACATGGCGCTCAATAAACTATCTCTCAATTCTTAACAATGAAATCCTAGATTATTTGGTACAAAGTTTAAGATTAAAGTAGTTCTGACAATGGTAATTGCTAAACTCAAAGCCTGGCGGGATGTGTAACTCATAATTACTTTAATAAATTCATCCGATAAGCCCTGCCTTAATTTCATTAAGAATGCAATCATGTCTTTTTTAGTTGGCACACGACTTTTTCCATAAATCACTACCGGTTGGCATGTATTGAATAAATCCGCAAATTGCCGCTTGCTTATAGAGGTCAACTTTTTAAATTCCTCATCCCCAAAATTTTCTTCAGTATCAAAACTACTTAAATTGTAGTCTTTTAATGCCAGAAACCATTCATGTATTTCCCTGCCCGTCATTAGCACATTCATGGGCAATGATATATTATTATTCATGTGCTGAATTTCCACATTTCCCTTAGAATTTAAATGATTAACACAACATGGTGTATGGCTGGGGATGAAAATGTTAGTTTTTGCAAAAAAGTCGACACGTGCATCTAACGATAACCTTGTCCGACTGTCATTATTACATACAAAGCAACCTCTATTGCCCGCTAAAACATCCATTGGTATTGCCAATGGATTATCAGACAATTCTAGACACCTTTCTACACGCTGGAAACAATTTATACATATTCTGGTATTTTCAATAATTTCTAGATGTGGCAAATGATATCTCTGTCTAAAAATAATAGAGATTTCTCTTTGTCGTGGTTCTAAAATTGCTCGGAATCTTTGACCGTTGACGTTGCAAATGTAGCACCTAACCATGATCCTATATAAAATTCAAATAAACTAATATAAGTAACCCCATATTTGCTTTCGAATTACATACTTACAAAGTTAATTAACATAAACTGGCAACACAAAATATATAAAATTCAATATTAATCACAAAAACGTATTCAAATAAAATGCACGTCAGTTTTTAAAAATGTCAAAATCGGCGCATTCACAGCCAACTTAGCGATTAAATCGTCAGCAAGCATATATGCAGTTTAAAGCTTCTTTTTCTCTGATTAGGTGTTCTTTATTTGTCGTAATGCTGAGTATTGTTGTAAACAATGACTTCATAGCCTATACTTGAGAAAAATAAACTTGGAACGAAATATAGTATACTTTATAATATATGGGTATATTTTTATAAACCTATCCTATATCGAATGTCCCAATAAGGCTCATGACTAGGTTTTTTATTGTAACTTATAACAAGCATAGTTTTCAGATAAATTCAAAAGCATAAATTGGCATCGAGAAAGTTAAAAAAAAAACATTTTCACTTTCTAATTCGCTATATAATGCCGAAACAAGGGACGGCATACCTAAATCTGTTTTTGTTTTACTACGATTTCGAAAGGGACATGTAAATTAAAACACCCTGTATTGCACAGACATGTAATCATATCACATTCATTGTTCGTTGGTCAAATTAAAAGAAAAAATCACAGCAACATTCTTTCAGGACGACGATTACTGGATACTTTTAACGCCTCGCGTACGAACTTTCGGTGCGTTTTTCTGGGACATCCTGTACACTTAGAGATTTGGCGCAATGATGAAAAATGCTTATTTTTGCAAGTACTATAACATATTAAAATTTAAAAAAATCGACCGGTCCCCGAAAACTCATAAGAAGTGTGCCATCTCATTTTGGTCTTATACGGTTTTTGAACTATCCGATTCAATTGATCCAAAGCCAGTCGCCAGAAAAATCTTTTATGGTTGTTGGTATCATCTCTAATGAGAGGTATTTACTAGATCAATCTGAAGAAATGTTTATAGCTTTTGCTTAGCCTTAGGTAAAACTTAGGTAAAACTTACCCTCATTCTCGAACGGAAAATTTATGCCACCCTCGCTTACTGTGATAACATTTTTTTGGATGGCCACATCTGTATACAGCTGTCCCACTGGAGCTATTCCAGTTAAATCAGCTTCTTTTGAATACAATTTGACTACACCCAACTAAAAAGTAAAACCGTTAATTTAGTAAAAAATCAATAATAATAATAATTATTTTATTAAGAATAGCAGTGAGTTTTATTGAGAAAAAAGAAGAGTTAAATGTTTACAACAAATTGGCTAAATCAGGGTTTTTAATATTACCATAAAATGTAGGTTATTTAACTGCTGGAGTGACTTTGACCAAGAAAAAATCACTGTGGTTTTCTTGAGTCAATTTTTAAATAGAAAAATATTTAAATAATATTCAAAATAGTTTGAATTCGCGATCTATTTAATTAAAGAAAAGTGGTAAAAAATATCGTTGAATTTTCATAACAGTCTACCAGATTTTAAAAAAGTTGCTGTTGCCAAAAATTTGTTTTTATTCACTTCGTGCATTTTTTTACTATTTTAGCGTGAAATTGACCACAGACTTGAAGTTGATGATTTGTAAATGATTGCCTAATATAAACAAATGAAGCCTAAATGCAGCAGCAGTAAGTTTATCAAACGGTCACAAAACAGCAGATTTGTCTAGCCAATAGAGGACTTCTATACAAGGGAAGTGCAACCAACTTAACAAAATAAAATTGATACTAATGACATAAGAAATCGGGTCACATAAAGAGGCTATTTTTTGGTATACTTTTTAACCGACTTATGTATGTTCAGCGATAATTCTTTAACACGGTGTCCGATTTTAATGATTCTTTTTTATTAGAAAGGGGGTGCTTTAGGGGTGGTCCAATATAAATTTGGTCAAAACCTAATAATTGGGTCCATGAGAAAATCCTCAAACTCTTCATTTTTTATGTATATTTAGCGATAATTCTTTACCACTTTGTCCGATTTATATGATTCTTTTTTGTTAGTAAGGGGGTGTACCCGGTTAGTAATCGCACAATGGTAGATATCTGATGCCTTGCGAGTTGTAGTACCTCAATAGCCATGCGTGGGTTTGGTCTCTTTAACATGACCTTACTAATGATGTTGCTAGTGAATTTGGTGTTTTGTGATTATCTACCTGTCGAGCAGAAGTTTTGCTCATCCGAAATACAGGTTTTGGTCCTTTGAATGATAGTTTTAATCCCTCTTTGGCGAGTTCACCAGCCTTGGATTTCTTTCTGCCTGTATCCATGCTAGTTTTACCTTATTGTGGGTTGCCGGATCATTTAGTATTCGAAGGCTGTTCCAGACTAGCTTTGACTTGATTCTGTTTGAATCAAGAGCCTTTAAGGCTGCTTGGCTATCTGAGAGAATTAAGATGGTTTATTTTTAAACTTTCTTCTTAAATTCATATGTATGTATGCATGTATGTTTTCCCAGTGAGACGAAGATGTCGCATTTGGGTTTAACTCCATGTACACCAGAGCCTGTTCCTTTGTTAGTTTTAGATCCACCCGTATACAATACGAGACAGGTAAAAAGGATTTCTCTATCTTCTTTTTTACCTCGTTCCAGTTTCAGTTGACCTGGAAGTCTGTTGAAGGTTAAGTGGGGAGCCATATGATTTGATCCTATGTTTATTATAGATTATTTACTTCATGAGTTATTTTGTTGTTTCATATGTCCCAGTGGGTTCCAGTTGTTGATGCCCAGCCTGTATGCACCATTCAGGCCTCCCTCTTTATGACTAGGTCAAGGGCTGGGAGGTTTAGAATGATTTCCATAGAGGCTGTCGGTGTACTTCTCAGTGCTCCTGTAATACAAAGGCATGTCAGCATCTGAACTTCTGAGAGGGTATTAAGGGCTGTTTATTGGTTTACTTTTGGCTACCAAACAACTGCTTCATATGTTATCATGGGTCTTGTTATTGTCATGTTCGGTTTTAATTCCTATGTTTTCAAAATGCCCGTCTCCCTATAATGAGAGACATTTTACATGTGTTGGTCACTTTCTGTAAGTGTTGGTTCCAAGTAAGTTTGTTATCTAGGATTAGATCCAGATATTTTACTTGGTTCGTTTTGTTTAGCCTTCCTCCAAACAGAGTCTTAGTTTCTAAGACCTCCACCTTGTTTTCCGAGTAAAGGTTATGAGTTATGCTTTGTCAGGGTTTAACAAACGGTTTTCCCTTTCGCACCATATTTGTGTCAGCTTTAAAACTCTTTGAAGGAGTTCGAAAACTGTAATTTTGTGTTTTCCTCGAAAAAGAACTGACTATCGTACAGCACTTGCTTGTTTAGTGATTTCAGCAGTTCATCTGCCACTAGGTTCTACAGTAGAGAAATGACGCCTCCATGTAAGCATTCCATGTGGATATGTACCTGAACATTTGTGCCTGTACTTCCCATCCGTGTTACATGTCTTATATCCACCAGCAGATGGTGTCTACTATTTCATGTTTGCGAGCGGCAGCTACCATTGAAGGAAGTATTATCAAAATCTCCTTTTATGTCAAGAAATGCTCCTAGGACTAGTTCTTGGCTACTTAGTCCCCCCTCTATCTTGGTTATAAGATGATGCAGAACAGACTCACATAATTTTCCTGATTGATAGGCATGTTGGTTTGTATGAAATGGACTCTCTATCAGAGTGGTTTGCCGGACATGCTGATCAATCAGTTTTTCAATCCTTTCAATAGAAATGACGTTAGAGTTATTGGTCTACAGTCTTTTGCCATGGAATGTATTAAAATCATTCTGCTTTATTTCCAGGTATTTGGTGCATATTTATGCACCAAACTTGTCCTGTAGAGCCTACAAATATGCTGGGCCAGTGTTTCTATTGCCTGTTGCAAAAGCACAGGCAATACCCCATGTGGTCCCGGTGATTTGTATGGATTGAAAGTGCGTATTACCCATGATACTATCTCTGTGATTTATATGCTACAATATTATACCGTAGGCAGTAAAAGACTGCGTAAATTGATCTTTTTATGCATTCCTTCACTATGACTAAGCAATGAAGGTAGTACTCCTCTCTGAAGACAAACTCTGCTTTTTTAAGTATCAACGTTGCTTCATCTTTGCCGTTTATGGTTGTTAGTGCTATCAAAGAAGAGAGAACAATGAAGAGAGAAAATCTATGTGGTGGAATTAGCCCTATGTTTCTTTTCTGTATGTTCCTCTCTTCTGTGGTGCTATCCTCCAAAATTAGAGTCAAGTTTACGAAACTATAGTTTTAAAAAGGTCACGAAATTGTCCTTACTGCTGCGACTAGATTCTGGAGCAAATTATTCAAATAAATACTTTACCTTTTTTGGTAGAGCAGGATCAGCTAATATACTAGAAATACTGAACTTCGGTAGACTTATTTTAACAGCGGTAGTTTGGAAATCGTGTACACCCAAATATTTTTCTATATTACTTTCTATTTCTTTTAGATCGACGCCATTTTTAGGCAAAATAATCACAACGCTAATATCGCTGTTTTTTAAATCTAGCTCCAAAAAGTCAGCTTTCAATGCAACATTTTCCGCGTACTTAACGTTTGTTATTGTAGTCATGAAATCGATTGACTTAGTCTTGGAACCACCTTGATGAAACGTAGATTTTTTGGTGTTGGCCTTTGGAAAGGGATTGGCCCATTGCCCGCTAATGTATATTATGTTTGCTATAATCATCTCGGTGGTTGGTTTCAAGATTGCTGGGTTGACAGTATTTTTAATTAGGTTATCGGTACAATTTTGGACCCAACTGTTAGTATTTGCATCAGCAGCGAAGGTGTTATGGTAATTCAAACTTTGGATTTCAGTATTGTAAAAATTAAGGGCATTGCTTCTAAACGCTGGCAATATAACAAACTTATTTGCGGGATATATTCTGTTAACTTGTCGTAATTTCAATGTAGGGGTGTTAACAGTAAATTTGTTAATAAGTTGTTTAAAAGCTTGATCTCTCGTCTGCTGATTTGTTGGCAAAGCGCAAGTGGTCAGCAATTCAGATTTCGTTTGGCCTTTGGCACCATTGGCTATTAGAGAACACATGACATCTGTTGCGAAGGCGCTGTACACAAAATTGAATGAGGTGGATTTCATTAACTGAAAAATAAAAATAAATAATGAATTGACAAGTATATATAGATTAAATTAGAATAACACTTAAGTTGTAGGTGAAACATACTTCACTAAAATACAAAAATATACCGGGTGTTCAAATTAAAGTGTTACAGCTAAATACCGCCTATTATAAAAAAAACGTTTCAGACAAAAGTTTTATAGTTTTGTGGGGAACAAATTTTGGCTAAAATCGTTTTTTATAGCTAACCATAATATGGCCAACTTTTTTTTCTCCCAGCAAAATTTTCAAGTAGCTCAAAAAGTAAAACTCGAATAAAAAAAAATTTCCATCAAAAGTTTCCTATTTTTTTATGTACTTTAGGAACATTTAAAAAAAAAATGGGGTTCCCATTTAAAATAACAAAGTCGACCTCGATATGGCCATATTATGGTCAGCTATAAAAAAATGAATTTAGCCAAAATATTTCCCCCAAAAAAGTATAAAACTTTTGTCTAAAACTTTTTTTCTAAAATGCATATTTTCGGCGGTATTTAACTGTAACATCCGGTATATTATACAGTTCATTCAAGACAGCATAATAAAAATCAAATAATAAAATAATTGGTGGTCCGCCTATGGTTTTCTAACTGTGCTGTTCGAACTATATTGAACTAACAATTAGTAAATATTATATTAAAAAAAAGACAATTTTGAATTAATAAAATTTAAAACTTCTGTTTATTTTCTTTGTATTTATATTTAGAAATGATATATTTTTCTTTTGCATATTATAATTTTCGTTCTCTTACAAAACATTTTTTAGGTTTTAAAGAACATGTTTTGAGAGAAAAATATGTTGTAGTTAGAGTTTCCGAAACATGGCTTACAAATTTAATTTCTGATGTAAATGTATTAATTCCAGGATACCATATAGTAAGATGTGACAGAGAAGGCCAAATAGGTGGTGGGCATGGAGGAAAGATTATTAAGAGTTGCCGTATCTTTATAGAAATTTGGCAACAAGTTTGCTTGCAGCGACCTGTGGGGGCGGGTGGTTCAACTAATCCTACTCCGTCGGTAATATAGTTACCTGCAATATTAGCTGTTCAATCATTACTCTGTTGGTAATGCAGTTGCCCGTAATACCATATTTAATTTGAAAATTGGCGGGCTTATTTTACTTCCATTAAGAGGAGCATTTATTTTAACAATTATTATTTTCCATCTAATACGAAATATAGGCATCCAAAATTTCAGTTAATTTTTTTCATTTTTAGTGAAAGAAAAACATGTAAGTGAAGGTAGACGTTCAATTTTGATGGCAAAAATCGCAAAATTTTGTTTCATAAAGACTTTCTCAATTTTTTAGAAAATAAATCAGATTTCGGAATAGTGGCTCCAGAGAAACAAATATTTAACTTTTAACTGAATGTACATATTATTATTCATTCACTAAAAATTAAAAATAAACTAGAAATGTCCATAGCTCTATTTCGTATTGGTTAGAAAAAGATAATTGCTAAAGTAAATTTTTCTCCTCTTAATTATATTTAAAATTTTGCTTTTTTATTAGCTGTTTGTAAGAATTATGAAACGCCAATAAAAATGTAAAATTCTATGACAAATAACTATGAGGGGTAAAATAAATACCATACAAAGTTTTATATAATTATATTAACTAAAAATCCCAAGAAAAAATAAATAAAAAAATATATCAAATGACAATACAAAAATAATAACAGAATTTCCTACACTTCACCCCCATACGAGTGAAACCCCAAGCAGAGCTTGTGCGAGGCAAGAAAGCCTATTATTATTATTATTTGCAATGGCGCTCCGGGACGACTTACACATGATGGTGCCATTTAACTTACAGGTGAGGAAAACCCGGAAAACCCCACCCACCATCATTATATGAATATATATATTAGACAAAGTACAATCTATTTTTACAATTATTTACTAGTTTCTATAAAAAATAATCCTAATATCACAAAAATGTTATTCTCTAAAGTTTAACTAATGACTTAAAAACAAATTCTTATTATAAATGATCTTCAAATATATCTATATATTATATATATATATATATATATATATATATATATATATATATATATATATATATATATATATATATATATATATATATATATATATATATATATATATATATATATATATATATTATCTTTAAGAAAGTTACTCTAATATCACAAACATTACTATTTAGGTACATTAACTATCTTTTGGTTAAAAAAATGAATATCCGAAATTGCACAACAAATAATTTACTTGATATGAAAACTAATGCCTAATAGACTATATAAATAAAAAAAAAATAAAAAAAAATTCTTGAATCTTGGGAATTAACACAAAAAACCATCCACATAATCTGAAACAGAAAAAAATTAAAGGCAGCAACTTCAAATCATTTTGTTTGTTTTTTTTGTCTTTTAGACATTGCCACAGCCCTCATACTATCATTATAATACTTTCTTATTATTAATGGTAGACAAGTTTTGACTAAATGAGAAAAGACGTCTGTTTTATGTTCTTTACATGTAAACCATTCAAAATCAACATGGTCTGGCAAAAAAAGTGCAATTTTCTGAATTATATTGTCAATATGACCCAAAAGTGGTAAAATTGTATAAACAATTTCATGAATTTTTGAAAGAAATTCAATAACATTTCTTTGTACATAAATCAAACGTCTTTTATCATCATTTTCTTTAAAATAAGTAAAAGTATGATGGTCTTCTAACATGTCTGTTTGTAAATTAGCTTTACACTCTTTGCAGTCAAAACTATTAAGTTTTTTAACAACAAACCCTGCAACATAACTAGTGGCCTGACTCTCAAATTCTGCATCATTTAATAATTTTGTTTCAAAAAAGTTTAAATCTATATTGTCTAACTCATTACTGATATTACAAATTAATTCTTTTGGTTCTGTAGAAATGCCTAAAAATGAATTTAAATTATCTAATATGCTGGTTTCATCAATTGAAATTGTAATTTCTTCCTGAAATTAAACTATTTAAAATGGATGTTTTAAAAGCTGTTATAAATTGGTAACAATTTGGAGAAGTATTGGCAGCACCATACTGCCGAATTGCGCCAAACATATTTTCAACCGGATCTTGGTTTAAAGCACGCGTTCTAATGAATTTGAATCCCTTTTTCCAACATTCATTCATAAGTAGTTTGACACCCCTAATAGTAATTAACCAACCGGCCTTAAAAGGCATTACCTTCTTCATAGGTTTACCATTTTTTGGTAGAAACTGCCAAGATTCTATTTTTGGCAATATAGAATTCCAAAATTCTAGATGTTTAGATCTTCTTGAAGCACACTGCCTAAGAGATTTACCACCAACGACACTTGGGTTATTACCATTAAGGCTGTCAAAGAGCTTATCAATGTCCTCAATAAATTCAGCAGTATAGATAGCTTCAGATGGTAATTTATTAGGTACTATTAGACTTTCGATGGCAGCAGCCATGGTGTGGCTCATTACTTTTGCTGCAGCTGAAACTTTCATTTTTAACTTACTATTTCTATTAATATCCAAAAAAGATTCTCTAACTTTATGTAATGCTTTAAATTTTTTAGTTTTATCAAGATAAAAAGCTTGCTTAATATAATTAAATTTAGCACATTTAGAATTATTATCAAAATAAATATCATAATTAAACAAGGTATTTCTGGTACATTTCAAAAGATGGGGAGGATCGTACAAGGTAATTATCCTTTTTCCATTGACAAAAAAATAAGGACCAGGTTTTTTAATATTATTTTCTGCTCGTAATTGTTTCAGTGCAGTACGATTCGTATTCCCCAGATCGCAAACAGTTGCCATTACATTTAATCCTACTTTTTGTAACTCTAAAATTACTTCTACAATAATGATTTTCAAATCGTTAGTTTTAACCTGATCTTTAGTGAAATAATAAGCCACTGGCTGCTTCCAAGCCTTTCGTAAGCCATTTATTACAAATGCCAATGCATGGTCAGCTGTTTGTAATTTTCTTCCTAAATTGTTACCAAGGTCTACGAACCCTACAACTTTATCACTAGCTATATCCAAAGTCAGTTGTTCTGTAAGAGCTATTTCATCAAATAATAAGACACAGTTTCTATCAATTTGCTTCATTTTAGCAACCCTTTCTTTAAGCCTGTTAAAAATTGATTTATTAATGCCCGTTTCAAATGGAACTGATCTCAAAAGTGACTGTAAAGTGGATTTACTAGGTAGAGAGATAAAACGCTTTAAAAAATTATAAGCCCGTGGGCCCTTCTTATATAAAGCTAATGACAAGACTTTATCTGATGTTGACCAAGAAGGTTTCATCTTTTGTGAATTAGATGTAGCACTGTTTAAAAATCTCATGCCTGCTGGATCGAGCTTCGAATTAAATTGTTGAAAAATCTTTGACTCTGAAATTTTGACTGCATTTTTAACATTACGTTTTGAATTAATTAGGGCCTTCTTTAATTTGCAAATTTGACTTTTCTGTATTCTATTAAAAAAATATAGTTTTTTCTTTCTAGGAGATAAACTATTAACTCGAGTTTCATTAATTTTATTTAAAAATCCACTACCTAAGCGTTGTTTCTTAGGTAATAATTCAAATTCATTTGATGAATGACTATCATTGAAATTTTGATCTATACTATACTTTCTCTTCACAGGTAATCTGTTTGGAGGAGTGACAATAATATTACTAAGTACTACTATCTTTGGTGTATCTGGTTTTAAGGGGGCTAAAGGTAAAGCAAATTTTAGCAGTCTTGAACGATTTGTGTTTGTAAACGATTTTGTTTCAAAATGATCTTCACATAATTTATGATTGGTTGTAAGTGGAATGTTTAAAATCTGGCACCATTTCTTTCTTTGATCAATATCGGAAGGAAAATTAAAAAAATGTTTATTCTTAAAATTTACGTTTGAAATGGACCTATAATATTTACTATTACAATTGGAGACTATGCATTTATAATGAATTTTCCCTGGTAAAGACATGTTAGAGCATCAAAATACCTTTATTTTATTTTTAAATTATCCTAATTAACTTATATCTAAAACTAAAAACTAAAATAAATAAAATTACTCTCACTCACATGTTTTCGTCGGCAACCATAACCATATTGTTTATTTTGTTGACAGCGCGCGCGCGGCACCGTGTTAGCGGGCACGCGGGGTGGCCAGCAGGCATGCAGCGGACAGAAAGCTAGATTCACATTGTACAAATAACTAAGTGAATGCATGTTTTTTTAATTTGTTGTAATATATAAATTAAAATTATTAAAATAATACTTTTTGTGTGTTACTGAGCGAGATCTTATTAGATTATTCAGTGTGCTTTACATTTTAATACAATTTTGTTATTGTAAAACGGACTTCAGAGCACCCAAGCGCCGGGTGGTCTGCGCAGTAAACAAATTGGCATATTTTGAATATGATATAAACCCCCGTGGTGGTGGGGTATGTATATATGTAAAAGCAGATTTGAAGTATGAGCTGTAAAAGTTAATGAGAATGTTGAACAGTTATGGATCAAACTCCTATTTGATAAACATACATTTGCAATAGGAGTATATTATAGACCTCCTAAAAAGAATATTTTAAAATTTTTAAAGAATCTTGAAGAAAATGTATCCGACTTAATTTCAAGTTATTCAAAATAATTATTGGTGGTGATATAACTATTAATCTTTTAGAAACCTCAGATAATAGAGTAATTTAATTCTATGACACTATAAATTTATTTAATTTTAAACAAATTATTGATAAATCTACTCGCATTACCAGAATTTTAGAATCTCTTTTGGATGTTATTATCGTTCCGGATGATCTAGAAGTCAATCGATTTGGTAATTTTGAATTGCATGACACTGACCATCAGCTAGTTTTCGGCCAGCTTAATTTAAGTTTACCTGAAGTCACTACAAAAGTAACAAAGAGCAGAAATTTAAAAAATCTTGATGAACATTTGTTATATCAGAAGATTTTAACAGTATTTTTTATTTGGAAGATTTAAATGAAAAGGTAGCATGATCTGGCACCGCTTAGTGATTTTAAAACTAAAAAACCTAATCATCCTTGGCTTACCGATAACATTAAACTTATTATTAAATTACGCAATAAAGCTTTAAAAAAATTTAAAAAAACAAAAAAACCTCATCACTGGGATTATTATAAAAGTCTAAGAAATTTTACTAACAATGCAATCTGTAATGAAAAAAAGGGCTATCTTCAATTTCTTGCCAATAATAGTAAAGGAAATAAAAATAATTTGTGGAAAAAATTGAATGATCTTAATATCTATAGTAAACCTAAAGACAATACTCTTCCAGATAATCTGAATAAACCAAATGATATTAATGATCATTTTTTATTACCTTCTGCAAATGTACAGTTGCCAGATAATGAATTGTTACATTTTTATCATACAAATCTGAAAGCTAATATAACGAATTTATTTGAATTTACATTAATAGATGAAAATATTGTACTCGTATATAAAAAATTGCTGGATATCAAATCTAATGCTGTGGGTCCAGATCATGTGCAATTAAAAATGTTGCTATTATGTTGCCCATATATATTGCCTTATATGGCACACATTATAAATGTTTGTTTAGAGAGTAACACTTTTCCACAACCATGGAAAGCATCAAAAGTTATTCCTCTACCCAAAAAAAAAATATAAACACCTTCAGTGAATTAAGACCAATTGCCATCTTACCTGTATTATCAAAAATTATTGAAAAAATTAAATTTCAAATTAATTTACATATCAATAAATATCAAATTTTACCACCACATCAGTCAGGTTTCCGCCGGGGTTACAGCTGCAATACGACTTTGCTAGATATTACTGATGATATATTTAAAGATATTGATCACGGAAAGACAATAGCTTTAACTTTGATAGACTACTCGAAAGCTTTTGATACTATCAATCACCAAATTTTGTTAGCTATTTTAAAGTATATAGGTTTCTCCAATAATGTCACAAATTTTTTTAGGAGCTATCTGTGTGGTAGGTGTCAGTTTGTTGTGTAATGATCCGTTACATCGTTTGTAATTATAAAAGGTAATATATTTTTTGTACTAAATTTTGTTTTAATGAATATGTGATCTAAACATGATTTATATATTGTGGTTCTTTATTAATTGTTGAGAGATACTCGTGTTCACTTAGGACGTTAATTTATTCTAATTTGTCCTCACTATCTTGTAATAAATTTATATTTATATCTCCTACGTAAAAGTTGTAGTTTTCAAAGCTATTTGCGTGCTGGCCATAGTAATTTTGTAATGCTATTAAAAATTTTTGTACGTTTGAACCCGACGGTCTGTAGCAACCAGTTATATTTATTTTATTTTAACGATTAAAATTTATAATAATTTGTAGAATATATGTTTCGAAAAACTTTGTTCCCATCTTCGGGTGCAGTCAAAATTTTAAAAACACATGGGGACGATTACAAACAGTTTAAAAATTTTTAAAATAATAGAAACCCCATCTTTCTGTTTCAGCGTGTCTTTTGTATCCTACCAAGTTTATAACAATAAAGTGGAATATTGTTGAATCAATTATTTTATTTGCAAATCTTGTGGTAGATTGCATGCAGTTTTTTGATTGCCTCCTACAATAATTACTACGATACTGACATTTCGGCAATTTTCGAAAATTTGTCGCTAGAAATTGGTCGCTAAGTACACACCGGTATAATAATTGTTATTCGAAGATAATAGAATAATCGATTTTTAAAAATACGAATCGACTAATCGATTATTTGACTCACCCTTAATTATAACAGATCACTAGAATACTTACATTATATACTTTGACACTCAACTTATCGGTAGCTTGGGCAATTAGTTGTACGCCTTGTGAATTACATTCCAAAATTAAAAATGCACCAAAAAATAACACTATCCAATTCATTTTGACTTCGGTAAGACACTCCTTTTTACCAAGAACTGATTCAAATTAGAGCTTCACTTTAATTTATAATAATAATTTTGAATATTTTATGTTGTATTATCTACTAAAGATGACAGTACTAGAATACATGATTATAATTTTGTGTGAAGAAAATTCCCATTGACGTAAAAAATATTTCTGTTAAAGATGAACCCCAGTTACAAAAATAAATTGATATAATGTTTTTTGGGTACACCAACTTTTTTTTGACGTATAATGTTTAGCCTAAAAGAACCTAATTTGATTTAAGAAAGATGGAAATGGTGTACCTACTAAATATGAGGTGATAATGAAATAAGTACTCTAGTGTGAAAAAATTTTATTTTAATATTTTGCTGAACGTTTTCGGCTTATGAAGGAAGCCATCATCAAAGCTTTCGTCTACGAGATACCACCACCGGAAATCTTATTAAAAAAATTATTAAAAATACAGACCTGTGGAATGTTGGTATTTCACTAAATATCACCCACAATATATCCCCTGTAGTAGTGCATCTCACTTGTTAAAAAGATGGCACTAAGTTTGCAGCACTAAATGCGACTAGCCGCTCAACTAACTCGATATGGCGGTAAATTCAAATATAATTTGGCAATATTAATTGAGACGTTCCATTGAACGAGCTGTAAATTCAGGCGCTATTTTTATTTTGATAGCTAAAAATAATACGAGTTATTTAATTGTTAGCTATTACCATAAGAGCAGCATTTGGATTAACAACACATTTAAAAGAACATGTAATATACTTTTCAATTTTACCTGAATCAATTATTTTTTACCTAGAGGTTAGATCTGAAAAAAAATTGGCTGTGGTAAAAAAAAATTGTATTAAATATTTTATTTGAAAAATTATAAAACATTTAATTTATTTTAAAGTCGAGGATAACTCTAGCCATATCCATTTTACTAAAAAAATACACTATATTAAATGAAATCATTTAGTTATTAAGAGATGTTTGTAATAATACAGTGTCGGCTATCGAATGTTTTACAATACGTTTTGCTAATGTCCAAGTGAAAACTACAAAGAGTTAGCATTAGTGTGAGAAGAAATGGAATACTATGAACATAACCAGCCGGCTACGTGGAGATGCATCGCACCATGTGCCTGTTCATATTACACAGCACACAAGGCAACTTCATATTATTAGTTTCCTGATCGCACTAATGCTAACTCTTTAGCTTTCACTTCGATGCTAGCCAAGCGTATTGGAAAGTATTCAAGAGCCGATACTGTATATAAATGCTAAAATTAACAAATGAAATAAAAATGTTTAGTTTAAATGGACCCCTACTTCGAAAAAGGAGAAAATTGAAACAGAAAATTATTATACTTGAATTTTATAGGCTGTTGCCACTGGAAAACTATTTAGCAATCCCTCCTTGAATCCCTTTTTTCTGAGTTGTACGTTTTGCTTTCCATATTAATAAGTAAGCACTTAATACAACACAATAAATATCGCTGAAACAAAATTAATAGTAATAAACGGTATAAATTTCGTAGAAGAAAAAATCCAAAAATTATCACTTGTCAATACTCTTCATAGTCAATACTAACACTTCAGGCTTCGCTTGTCAAAAACTTCGTCTTCAACCAATGAACGTGCCGATGTCAGACGTGTCAAAATTTAAAACGATACTAGCGCCATGTAGCTCTGTGTCTGACCCACGTCTGGCCACAGCGTAACTCAAAGCCATTTCTTGAATCCCAGTGACATTACTATATAGGGGATATATTGTGATATCACCTCATAATCCAGTTATGCTATGTAGGGGTGTTAGCATGTTATAAAAAATAAAAGGTAGGATATCAAAAGTGTCAAAAATAGGACGGCCACGCGCATAACGTCACGCGTAGAGTTTGTATAGGCGCAAATTTAAAAATACTGATGAAGTGCGAGGAAAATATATTCTACTTACAAAAAGTTCATGAATATTAAGGATAATATTTTAGAAATTACATGAAATATCTATGGATATTATTATAGGATAGTTAAGGAAAGGAACATAAATGCAAATACATACATAAAAGAAGTATTTATTTGAACAGTTTTTTCCTTTTTCTTGTTTAATGATTTATTATGGTTATACAAATTCGACTTCTAAAGAATAGTTTTTATAACCAGGATAATGAAAAGGGTATCTTCTCAACTTGAAACTGGGGATCCCAGTAACAATTTTACATCTGGATATACTGGAAATTTTTTATCTGATTACTCATTTACCTGCATTAAATTACCCAATTTAATAAAAATAGGTTTTAAAAAATATGTTTTTTCATATAATATAATGCAGACAATATAATATAATGCAAAGCATAAAAAAATGTACGAAATTCAAATAACAGCTACATAAAATATTGTGGGTGCATATACAAAATTAAAATAAAATGTCACTGCAATTTTCCTGGACAAAGTCGCTGACAGTATTTTTAATTCATTCATCAAGTACAAGTCGAAAATTTTCTTTTTTTTTGCAACATTTACTATTTCACTTTTGCTTATATTGCGAAATTTTTAGCCTTCAAAGGGTAGAGTCTCCAGTTTATAAGTCCCAAGTTGCGATTGGACCAATGTGAAGTTCTGATTGGAGGTTCCTCTTATAATTGGAAGGTTGAAATAGCTTGGAATACGTATGAAAATTTATTTGCAGGGTTACAAGCCACTGCAAGGGCTGCTCCATGTCGAATTTTCTTGGGAAGGAGGGTAGAATTGCCTATTTAGCATATTTTTTTTTTTAATAAAAGGCTCATGGATTTTAATAATTTTAATCTAGGGAACGGCATGCTTCCCTGAGCCTCCGCTGGAGTCGCCCTTGGGCCACTCCTCACTTGACTGAGCTCTTACTGTCGAAGAAAGCGAAAAACCATAATATTTTTCTTGAATCCTTTGTTTTAATTGTTACTGTTACATCCGTACCGCAATTTTTCAAAGTTTTTCACTAAAAGCACTCAGAGAGAACAAAGTTTACAACATAATATAATACAAATATCTGTTTAATACCTTATAAATCACTATAAACGACTCCCAAACTACTGCAACATGCGTCTGTCATATAATATTTATTTCGCGCCAACTCTGCTAACTCTACGCATGACGTCAGCGCCGCCATTACACCATGCGCGATAACCCCCCCTGGGGTGTTAGAATCGGTTTCACGCTTCGTTTCACGAGAGAACCACCCACCTGAAGTTGCAGTCGTATGCGCAGACGTATCGTCATAACCAGCGCCATATATAAGAAAAAAGAATTAAATAGCTAAAGATCCATTTTGTTTACTTTTTTGCGTATAATTGCTTTCTGAGCAAAGCAAAATTCATGCAGTTAATATATTTTTTTTGTAAATAATACTAAATTATTTATTTCAATTTTTTTATGTAAAAAATGTAAAAAAGAATTAAATACGCAAAAAATTTATTTTTTTTTACTTTTTTGCCTATAATTGTTTTCTGCGTAGAGGTAGGTGTCAGGCATTGCTTCATACAACAAAAAGTATATTAAATTTCCTTTAAAATCTTGGGTTATTAACGGTTTTTGGATCAAAATGGACCAGCTAAGATATTGACCTCATAGGACATAATAGCTTATTACTGCAAGCCCTAAATATATCATTTAGGTAATAAAAAAAAGGTTTTCTCAGATATGGCATAATATGCAACGTTAGTAATAATTTTTTAAATTTTGAAAAGCAGTGAAAAATATATTAATTTTTAAAACATTTCACATCTAAAAACTTTAACGAAATCTGCAGCATACAATAGTAGTTAATCAAAGTGTAAGAATAATGAATACAAAATAGCTTAGTGATAATAAATGTTTGTTGTATTTCTTATTCAACTGACTGCTAGTTGCACATGTGTGAATTATTTTACAAAATTTTATACTTTTTACCTTACTTCAAAAATTCAAACTTGTTTAATCCCATTTATAGTTAAACAAATTGATGAAATTTTAGATGTTAGTTACTAGTTATTGGAAAAGTATATTATGAAGAAATTTGAGATTTTTTGTGTATTGACTTTAGTGATATATCGATTTTAAAATCATCAATTTGAGCCATATCACAAAATTTGAAATATGTTTGCCTATAATCTAGGTAGGTATACTGACAAAAATTATTTCCTGTAGGCTTGTATTATTAATCGCTTTCAAAGTCACTAAGCAATTCTATAATACTCCTACTGCTGTCACTGCTGCAATCATCCTCTGAAGTAGATTCATCAGACGATCCTATATTTACAGTAAACACAAGTATCTACAGCATTATCCATTCAGATTCGCATTTCTTTACATGTTCATAAATAGAACACCAATCTTGATCTGAAACTTCAGAAAATTTCTTCCTGTCTAATTTCTCCACATCATCCAGTTTAAATGTGGTATTGTTCCCAGATTTTTTCTATTGGGTTGAATTCTGGATGATAAGGTAGTAGCCGTAAGACCTTATGTCCATGTTCTTTTAGTAAACAGTCCAATTTATAGGAAACAGGAATATCTAACCGATTTTTTTTCTAATACACTGCTACCTGAAAGTACTATTATGTCCCCTTCTTCACTAAGGCGACAATGGACTAATCTTAATATCTACAGCCTATATGCCACTGCAATAAATAATCACAAAGCTGAAATAACAGGCGTACCAATTGATATTAAACCTGTCAAAAATGATCCTTATTGTTACCAATCTTATACAAATTATAAAACATTATGTCAAGATTTCGCTTTGCTTAATTGGAATGATTACTATAAATCCTCTAACCCTAATACACTTACTGAGATACTAGTAAATAAATTAATTCAACTCGTTGAAAAAAATACAACGAAATTAAAAGTTAAGAAAAAAGAAAAACCGCGTAAAAATTGGATATGCGATAGTATTGTAAAGCTAATAGGAGAAAAACGGTCACTTTATAGTATGTACAAAGAGGATCCAACAAACATTAACAAAAAATTAAAATATACACGTTTTAGAAATAAATTAAACAGAAAAATAATTGAAGTAAAGAAAAAGTATTACCAAAATGAGATAAATGCT